CAGATGAAGAGAAGCTGATTTTAAGTCTTAGTTATTGAAAGTTGACTTCTCTCCTCTATAAAACATATCCAAAGCAGTCCAGCCCTACCTTATCTGGTGATTTACAGCAGATGTTTTAAAGCCGTCACGAATTGTGACAATGGTTTATGCAACACTTCAGACTGTAAGACCTCCAGGTCTGACTGGTTACAGAGCAGAATTTACTTTTTAGTCCATATATATTAATTTCCTGGTTAGGTGACCTACAAATAACACAAGCTTGCAATCTGGAAGTTGGGAATTTATTGCTGTATTTTAGGTTTTCCTGTTGCTATGTGAATTTTGGGGGTTGTTTTGTAAGAAAGTGGTTACAGCTTGTGATAGCTTCCCTTTCTACAGAGATCCCTGCAGAATGTTTGATGAACATGTTTCCACACATTCAGAAGTCCTCATTGTGTATATTAAATAAACCCCATTCTGAAAGTGCTGCTTACTTGGCTACCGAGACACAGCTTTCTGTCAGGTGGGGAGTGCTTTTTCTTTAGGATCTTCAGTGAAGTCACCTTGAGATTTCTTTATATGTATAGTCTTCCAGTATTAGTAGCTCTACAGCTAGTAAGACACACAGAGGAAGACCAGTTTCCAAAAGATGTAAATGATCTTGAAAGAACATATATAAAAATGCTATTGCTGCCTGTTGAGACTGTACATCTTTTTGATTTGTATTTTAAAGTATTTTATCAGAAAAAATGTTGCATTGTGCATTGCATGTTCTTTTGAGCACTAATATACCAATACGAATCAACATTTGAATGCTCTCATCTATGAAACAAGCTATTAGGAAACATACTGGTTAGTTCTAGTCACCTAATGTATTAGAAAGTTATTGCACATGAACAGAATATTTTTAGAGGATAATAAACGCCAAGATTTCAAAGCAGCTTAATAATGTCTCTAGTATCAGATAATGAGAAATTCCCTCAATGTCGCTAAGCTGGACTTCATTAATTATAGCGACTGATCTTACAACTGGCATATTTAACTGAAATAATGATTATAATTCCTATTTGTTAGCCTGGAACTCCAGATTCACTGTGCACTGATGTTTTACTGTCTCTGGTGCAGGCTCGGAAAGAACTCTTGCTTCCTCTTACCCATGTGTGCAGCCAACCCAGCTACGTAGCTCTAGGCTACTAACCGTGCCCCGCACCTAGATCTAGACGGAGGTGTTATACTTCAGGGAAGACAACTCCTTGCAAAACGCTCTGCAACGACTGTATTTCGATACAACATAAAATGACAAATTCTGTGAAAACTCTTTGTGAATCGTACAATACATATTCATCTGCCCATCAGTCTCTGCCAACAGTTTGCACAGTGATAACATAACGGGTAAATATTTATGAAGCATTTGTGGTAGCTGTTAACCACTTTCACGTAATTCTCTTAGGAGAAGATCTATCGCATCGGTACACTGAATACATTCTGGGGGTGAGGAAAAACATTTCTTCGGTTTTCGTGTATCCAATAAGCAAGCTCAGGAAAGTCAGACAGCTGCTTTCGAAGCAGATTGTGTTTTAAATTGAGCTTAGCTTGGTAGGAAAAACTTGAAATGTGCCTCTCACCAAAATATTTCCAAGTGGAAATGCAATAACATATTAATTAGAAAATTCTTTACATACCCAAAGGCTCCCAATGAACAATTACTTTATATTTCACATAAGCCTTTTTTAAAGCAATCTTTATACGAGGAAAAGAAAATATGAAACAAAGAACAACAGCACAGAAGACATCATATCAAATGTTATATTTGAGTATTTCCCAAGTAGCAATTAAAGCTTTCTGTGGAAATCTGCCTCAGACCGTTACCACAAACCAGAATAACACTAAAGAAACCTGACAGATGATATAGTCATTCTATCCCAGTATAAAAATTGCAAAATCTGGGAAAAATTTAAAATGACAGATTATTAGAGACCCATCACCTGATATACAAGATTAGCATTGTATCAAGTCAGATAACAAATTCAGGCACTTTTTAATACATTCTCAATATAGGTCTGTTCTTCTAACGGGGGAAGCCCAGATGCAGCATTTGATACTGAAGATGCTGCCCCAGGGCAACAGACTAGATTGACTGGGCTGACTAAAGGCATATAAAGAGAAAACTCACTAATATAAATACTTATTGTGCATAAACCAGCTTTGAGTCCTGTCATTAGCATGGAAAGCCTCACAGCATTCACAATGCCAGCTCTGCAGCCCTATACCTACTGGTGTAGCCAGCCACCATCAACAGTCCTGGGCCCACAGTGCTAAATGTAGACGTGCAATTTATGACAATCCATAAATGCCTGTCCCAAACTGAACAGGGGGTGGGGAGCACAGGCAGCTCTTAACAGCTCCTGGACAACGGCACAGTAATTTTATTACTAAACCAACAGCTGCGTTAGTGCAGCAGTGGAATCAGACTGAAGTGGATGAAACAAGTTAACGCTTCCCAGAGTCAGCAACCAGAACACCTAATGCTTTCCACGTGCCCTTTTAAAACAACGATGACAGAAACTCAGTGTTTGTAATTCATTTGTGCGCATATTCCTCCACAGAATTTTGTAGACAAAAATAAAATACAACACATATATTTCTTTCGAAAGTTATTGTGTACAGAATACAGCATATAGAACTGAGAGACGTGAAATATTTACAGCTGTAACATTATAAAGGCTTGACCTTGCTTTTCTGAGAAGAACTGTTGAGTAGCTGATGAGGCTGTTCAGATTGTTTCCTGGAGTCTGGCATCCAAATTCAGGCTGTAGGAAATCACATTATTTTGATTTTTTTCAGATTATTTTTTCAAATGGATACCTGACACAGTTCTACACAAAGAGACCGTCCTTTTACATAATCCTGGATCTCCAGCCCTTAACAGTCCTTCAAAGAGCTCTGCACTTTCCTCCATAAAGAGTTTGCTTTTAGCACTATATTAAGTCACTTAAGTATTTTCACTCACTTCCTAGCCTCACACAAAACCACAGAAGCCAAACTAAGAGAGTATCTCAAACAAGGAGACCTACTAAACAGTATGAATCAACGCCTGATCTCTGCTGACACTCATGTTAGCAAAAGCAGGTTAAACTGCAGCACCTAAGGGCTGCATCTCACCTGAGCACAACTCACCATATTCATCAGTGTTCACTCAAGCATCTGTAGTATGGTTATGATCATTTCAGACTTGCAGATAGACTATGTTGAGCAGAATAATTGTAGCTAACTGTTGCTGTGTCTGCAGTCTTAATCCTAGTCTAACAATCTCCCCAGCTTTTTCAATTCAGCTGAAAGAAAGCAAGCAACCTGAAATGCATTAATATTAATAATAACACCACCAATAATAATAATAATATAGCTAGAAGGAATCTTCAGAAATTACCTAGTTTATGCTCCTACTCTTACATTTTTCAAAATCTCAAAGCTGGTGATCAAACTGATATGGGAGGTGCTTTTTTTTTATTGGCATAAAGATAAATACCACATTAATTCTTTGCCTATCAACAGGCAAAACATGTATGTGGGGGGCGACATTCACTAGAAGTAGTTACTTCCCTTTGAAGCTCACAACAAGTCAGAAAAACTTTTTAATAGTCCTTTTCCTCCTTGCTTGTTGCTTTGTATAAGGCACTGCAGTCTGCTTGTTTTACAAAATCATACTTGTTAAGTGTCATTTACCCTAGTTTTGCCAGAAAATCCTTTAGGAGTCTCAGACTGTAACGGTCTAAGCTCCACTCAAAGTGCATCATCAGTGACTAGCAAGCTTTAAAAATGAGATTCTTTTAAGTCAGCCAAAACCAGAAACCAAATCATTCCCTCCCCAAAACACTTGAAACAAATTGCTGATTGCAGCAATTATAATAATTTTTACTATAGTAAGCTTTCTATCTCTTGATTCTTAGTTAATTAGTTCTCCACTACTGAAGAGGTTTCTCTAGTAAATAATGTCTAATTTTAAAGTAAACAAGAGAGATAAAAAAGCAAATACTTCTCACCCCCCTCCAAGGAGAAAAACTTCTTTCTTTTAGTAGAGAACCACTAACTTCCATGAGCGAGTTTTCTAAGCTGCAAATTAACAGTCCTTCCCTAACTCCCAGGAAGGCTCTGAGGATTAAAGTTCGTAAAATGCATTGGACACAGAAAGGCCACTGTGATGTAGTATCACAGCATTCCTATTACCTAGCTTATATCTCTGTCTTTTTGCAGAACTACTAGAGCTTTTTTAACCCCATTTCACAAAGATTTCAACTCAACCTTTTATGAAAGGAGAACTATAAATAGCCTCTTAGATTAAAACCCTTAACAGCTGAGAAAGCTAGAAAGGGAGGTAGATATTATCCACCTTTCAGTACTACAAACTGGGGCTGGAAGGGCTTAATTACCAAGATATACTTAAGAACACACTAAGGGCTGCTATAAAAATTACTCCAATTACAGCAGCTCCACAGATATTGCTCCACCCGGGAGAGAGGAAACCATCACTTCTGTCTCTTTCCACACACCTCTCCTCCTGTACACCATGCTAATAAAGGGCATCACGAACAAACAGCAGCTTCATGCCGTGCAACGGTTCTGCTGCACACGTGGAGTACTTTCTCCCAGGTGGCTTAACAGAACCTTTCACACCAGGCAAAGCTAAGGATTTGGCTTCTTTTGTTTTCACTTTGAAATCTCACAGTGGAGATACATTGTTTGCAAACCTATGGCAACAAAATAATTTCAGCCAATGTATTAGCTTAGAAGTGTCTGGGGCAGAAAGAGATACTTTGAACCCATGATTTGGATTTGAATGTGGAATTCATGATTTCACATGAATTACACACTCACTGTCCTGAAATGGGGAATTCATGGTTTTCCTTACAATTTTGTCTGTGATGTTGCATTCTTACGATTTTTATAGTTACAAATAAATATGTAATTCACAATGAGTGTTCAGAGAAATAATTTCCATCAACAGTCAGGAAGTCCTTATGGTTTCAGTACTCCTGTGCTAAGCTTTTTGCAATGGTGCTCAACTGGATATTTGAAGTTCCTTCATATATTGTACCTGAAATGAAAAGAAAATATATTAGAAGACTACAAAACCACAGGGAGTATATGAAAAGAGACCAAGATATCATTGCAACAGTCTAGTTAGAATATTTACAATTATGAAGTGAAGCTTTACTGAGCAAGTTCTAGAAACAGAATTATTATTTATAGAAATGTTCATATTTTATTATCTGCATCAATTAAAATACTCTTCTGCTGGTATGACATAATGACAAGACATTTTCCTGAAAAGCAGTTCCTAAATAAACAACAAAAATTAAGTATTTACAAATGCTATCAGCAATAAAAATCAAAGGGTAATATTGTTAGAAATGTCAAACTGTTAGGTCTGAGGACTACACTGGTAAACAAGGAAGTCCTGAAAATAAAACCCCACATAGATTCAGATCTTAAAGGCAAAGAAAGTATTTTCAATGTTTTTGAACTGGAATTTCCTGAATAGAACGGGACACGATGTGTGTGTGTGTCTGTATTTTATTGGTATCTAATGAAACATTTCAACTAACCTTACCTACACAAGTGTTTATACCTAAAGTTTTACCTTCTTACATCTGAGCCTTGGAATAAGTTTTAATTAGTGTCTCATGGAAAAAATATCTTAAAAAAATAGCTAGTCGTTCATCCCCAAACTTTAATACTACTAATGCTACACGAAATACTTTTTAAGAAACTATCACTCACCTATCTTGCAGTCACGATAGTACTTTTCTATTGGATAGTTTTTTGTGAATCCAACGCCACCCATCCATTCAATACATTTACTAGTTGTCAGTGTTGCAACCTATGAAAATAGTTTCAGGGGTACAATTTCAGGATCCAACTTCATGCAGGTGGTAGTAAATGTTATTCTTTGTAGCTATTTAAAGTAAAAACAAAACAGCAACAACTAGAACAAGCGGGAAGAGGAAGTACCGATATTTTTGTATTCATCTTATTTATGCAAGTTATTTTAGAATAAACCTGACATTTTTCTAAATCAGATGACATCAAGAATTCAGTAATCATTATCACAATATTCATATGCTACACTATGAAAAAGATGAGCAGCAGTATGCAACACGGCAATTACGAAGAAGCAGAAGCAATCCAGTTTTGAATTGTACTAAGACTCTCAGTTGTGACCAGCAAAGTTGAGATGGTCACAAATGAAGTCTCACCATGCCACTTCTCCAGCCACAAAAGGAGAATTCTAAGAAAATGAAATCTCTCTAGATAAGTAAAAATACTAATTCACTTTCTCTTCTAATGTTGTTGCTTGTTTTTCAAAATTTTATTTAGGGGTGTGAGCAGATCATTCATTGGTGGCCTACTTTACACTCTATACATGGACTGAGAACAAGAAACAAGGTAAAAGTACATCCACAGATCTCACAGCAAAACATGAATTAAAAGTTGTACATTCAGTAACAGAAGAAATGTGTAAACAGGAATGAAATAAATCCACTGAACAAAGAAACTGCAGGTTACCTCAGCAGCGTAGTATTTGGCCATGCTTGCCTCCTTGATGAATGGCCTTCCCGTTTCTGCAAGACGAGCTGCGTTGTAGGTCAGCAATCTCGCCGCCTCCAACTGCGTGGCCACCTGAGCTATCTGATGTTGCATCCCCTGTAATAAGCACACCGCAAGTCAGACAGAACCAGTATCTAGTACTCAACTGGAATTTCTAGCAAGAACTATTCTTTTCACCAAGGAACATACCTACACTGTGAAATGAAAATACAAAATCTAGACGGACTAGTAATTCTGCGCATCTCTGTATCTATGACATCAACGTTGGAAAACCTCTGGGCCACCAAAGTCCTTTTAGGAACTGCACTCCCATTTTCTCCTTCCCTCTTCTTGGATTCAGGCATACTGGGAAACATCTTGCCTGACTAGCTGGACAGGAGGGTTCAATGTGAACCTAATTGCACCCATGAATATCAAGGAAAATTTCAGCCAAACCTTAATGCTTTCCTGAGCGCCACAAAGACCTGGGTAGGTCAAAGCTGTGTTTTTATTTTGCAGCTGTCTGTTGAGAACATTCGTACATTAACAAGTCTAACTCCTTGATGAGCTTGACTGAGAAAGACTTGAAAAAAGTACCTCTTAAATAAAGTGGAGGACTAGCGAGGTGACAACCACTTCTTCCCATGTCCCATAAGCCATTAGAGAAGAGTTAGGAGCAGCATAGAAGTATAGAGGACATGACTGATGCATGGATTCAAAGGGAAGGGAAAAGGTGATGGAGCTCACATCTAAATGGTAGGTATTGCAGAAGAATAGGTTTATATAAGAAGACCCAAACATGATGATGACGGAAAACGAACATTTAGCAGCCTAATTTGCTCCTAAAACACAATGAAATCTTTCATCTTATTAACACTGCTCCCTGAAATTTGCAAAAATATATATGCAGGTCAAAATAACAAAATGATTTGGCAATTAAAAATTCCATTTCCCATTCAAAAGACGCAGTTCCACTAATTTCCTAGATATCTGTAGGTGCTTCCTAAAATTTGTATAAATTATGAGTAGTACTAATGTTCCTTCTCTTCAGCTGAGATGTAGGTTTCTTTTAACAAGAAAATTACTATAGCAATTACAATTACATATCTTCCTTATTAAACTATACATCATTTTTGCAACAAAGAGCCTTTTTCGTTTTAAGATACAGATATTATCATGAAAACTAAATGTCTTTGTATAACACAGGAAATCTAATAATTCAATCAGTTTTCCTCATCTTTTTATAATTTCTAGTGTCTCCAGAAAAAGGCTGTCCCCTACACCTCATGAAAGGCTGTAAAAACTGGAGCACATTCAACATACTGTGATATTAAAATCAGAAGAGAAAGGGGGTTCCATGTGTATTATTTTCAAAGGCACTGAATATACTATCAAGCAAAAGGAGTTATGTTAATAATGTTTTGAAGTTTTAAATGATTTATACAGTACTTGCAAAGGCACATAGCACTGAATTTATATATTTTGCGTGGCAGATCAATGCTCATCTGAAATTCTTTTGAAAAATTCTTCTCAAATATTGGTAAGTGGAGACATGACACAAAGTGGAGCACAAATGATGCAAATCAGATTACTCATTTTACTGACTTCATCTACTGTGGTAACTACTACTCTCTTGGAGGAAACTTCCCGTGTGTTCATTAACAAATACCTGGAAATCGAATACGCTTTTCCCAAACTGGACTCTCCACCCCTGTGCCAGTCCTAACATCTGTAAGAAGTAAGACATACTGAGGTCAGTTAGGACAAAAAAAAAAAATAAAAAAAATCAAACTTTGATGAATAAGCCTATTCCATCCTATTCTATTCCATTCCTGAAAGAAACTTTTACTAAAGGCAAAATATGTGTGAAAACACTATCACTCATTTTGAACAAAACTTATGGGTCAATTGTGCTCGTGGAAATATTAAAGTGTTTCTGGGAATTCTTAATTACAAGGGAAATTTACTGTAAACTAAAGAGCTATTAAAGGAAAAATAATTTGATTATTCAAAGCTATTTTCAAAATCAGAATAATTTCTCATTTTATAGAAGACACTAGAATGTCAGAATTAGCAATTTATTTCAGAAGTTAGAAAATTAATACAGTGGAAGGAGAGATTTGTTCCAGCGTTTTCCAGAAAAAAAACCAAGTCAACAGAACAATTTTAGAAGATGTCTTTTCACATACTCTTCACTCAGCAGCAAAGACAGCAAAACACAATTGTTACCTTGGAGGATAACATCTGGGAAAACTACATATGAACATTTATAAAGAGGTAACTCACATCTACCTTAGTGTTTGATTTGTTAGCCTAAAGAAACATTATGAAATCTGGAAAGTAAACTAGTTTTATGTTTGTTTAATCACCAAATTTTAAGAAGCGTATTCCATTCCAAACAAGATAGTAAAGAAAGGACCCTGTCTTTCATATATCTTGGCATACACACCTCTCGGTAAAGATCAGTTGGTTTCATTATATAACTACCATCTATCTGAACACATTCGTTCTACTTAGTTTCTTTCCAGGAAAAACAAAGATAGGAAATTAAATTAGGGTAAGCATCAAAGGAGGCGGGGGGTGGGGGGTGGGGTGAGGAGAATGAATGGCATGAAGAACTATCAAAAAGCAAGGTAACAGAATACGGTAAAATTAGAATCTCATCAAACTTTTCTAAGTCAAAGTCGGGATACTACAACGTGGCAGTCAGCTGCCACATCAAGCAGCTTATGTCAAACTACTTTTAATGATGTACAGTAGTGTATGGGTATTTTTGGATAGACCGACATATTAAGCTGAAAGCCAAGGGCCCCAAGAAGATAAAAACATGGCTCTGACTGGGTTCAAACATCTACTCCTTAATCATTCTAGGAAAAAAACCAAACCCAAAACACAACAAATACACAGGAAAATTAGTATGTGGGAAAAGAACATAGGAAAATAATAGTCTGCTGCTAATCAGCTGTATTACCAGATTTGTTACCTTCTTATATAAACTCACATAGACGAACCAAGCATACCAACTTCAGCACCTGTAACAATATATGCAGCTACCTTGCACTAAAACTATCTGAAACAGTTTTCACAGCCACAATTACGTTTTATAAGATGTTAATTATCTTTTAAAACTACTACTACGGCAAAACTAAATTCAATACTACAGGGCTTTAGAACTGCTGTTCTTGTACATTCAAGTACATTTTTCTTCATTTGAAGGTACCAAGCAAGTAGTAACTAAGATATAACAACTACCTGACCTTAACTTTTAATTAGGTTATAAGTGTAACTTGGAGTAATTAAAAGTAAAATCCAGACCATGTATTTTACTGCCAGAGCTTCTATATTATTTATATCTCTGGGAACAACAGGGCCCACAGCACTAGTTTTTAAATGCCACATCAGACAAAGTTTAATCACAGATAATCATTAGAAATGATGGAAAAGCCAACCCATTTAGCAGCACAGTATACTGCCATGTGGAAAGTCTAAATTTCAAGAGGATTATTACTTCTGGTCTGTTTGCAAACTAGGGCGAAAGATAAGGGAGACTGGTAGTACAGACGTATTCTGCCCTACACAGCACAACTACATCCACAACAAAGTAGAAACAAAGAAAAGATTACTTTCAAAAGTAAATTAAAAATACAAAAAATTGTCATAAGTCATTTTATTATAGGGCTGAACTTGATTTCCACTGAAATCAGCAGCAATCTGAGATCCAAACTAAGTTAACAACAAAATACAACATTTTGAAATAACACCAAGGTCAGCAAATATTTTCCCCTAATATGCCATAAGGTGCAATTTTCAAACACAACAATGAGCTCAGACACTTCTGCTATTAAAAAAAATAAATCATATTATTTCAAAAATAAGTTGATTTTTAAAAATAACTTGTTGAGAAAACATCAATTATCATAAGCTCACATTTGGCAATCCCAGCATTAATACCATACATTTCAGTGTTAAATTTTCCAAAGCTAGGTTTTTTTGTAAAATGAATTTGCATAATGGAAGATAAAAACGTTGGTGTATTCCAGTAGCAATAAGTTAACTACCAAGACAAACTAATTGCCATTTAATGTTTTCTAAATCTATTGCTTATGTCACCAAAGGAGAATTTTACCATTTCCAGTTGTTTCAGTATTTTACTGTAACTTAGCTACAGGAATAGTGACATCTAGTGGCAATTCAGTTTTTAATAAAGTATTTTCCAAATAATATACTTTTATTAGCTTTAAATATTTTGTATATATCAATCCAAATTCAAAGTTATATACTGATTGTATTCAGTATTAAACAAAATCACCCACCTGTGCAGCAATACCTATTCTGCCGGTATTCAGCATTCCAATTGCGTACTTATAGCCTTGTCCAACTTTTCCCAGGATATTGGTCTCAGGAACCTAAAGAATAAAAGCACTCAATTATTTCTGTTCTGTTCTGCTTTGCAACTGCTAGTAGGGTTCATAGGTGAATCAGTGTATATGTTTTATTTAATGTTCCTTACACGAGAAGGCATAAAACACAAACCAGATGTTTGATTCCTAGAATATCTGATTAGAACTCTTCCTGATACATGTGATTATAAACTGATGACTGAGAAAATCTGTAGCAAAATTTAAGAAAACCAACCCCCTTCAAGACTTCTGTGAAAGAATAGGGAGGAAAAAGTTAAAATATGCCAAACAATCAGTATGTCTGAGGAAAAAGAATATTGGGAATTTAGTTAAAGTTCTTTCCTGATATGTGGTAAAGTTCCAATTATGCACAAATTATGCTTCAATAGCTAAACAACTTACAATACCTTAACATTTTCAAATGTTACTGGGCAGGTGGAAGATGCTCTGATTCCAAGCTTGTCCTCCTTCTTTCCCACATGCAGTCCCTCTGTGTTGCGGTCTACTATGAAGCATGTAATTCCCCTGTATCCCTAGGATGAATTAAAATATAACCAAGAACTGTTTTTTATACTAATATCACCAAATGGTGGTCTAAATACCTCCCTCCAATACCGAAATTTTATGCCTGCTTATTTTTATTTATTTATTTATTTATTTAAATAATTAATGAAAAAAACACTGGCACTGTCTTCTATTCCTTCTATGCCTGCTAATTATGACTTAACAAAGGCCAAAGATAGCTTATATATATATATAAGTAAATAAAAGGTAAGCAAGTTACTGCTTGCTATTATAACATATGTCACAGTCAAACAACGTACTGCAAGAAGCCATTGGGTACCTTTAGACTAAAGTGGTCAAACGAATAATGGCTCTAAACCCATCCATCAGATGATTCTATAGGATGCAAGATTTTACTTAAGCCCAATTACTTCAGCTACTCTTCTCATGGAAAGCTGCATATATACTCTTCCTTTTAAGGTTGTCCAAAGCAAGAGCACTGACTGAGGAGACTGGTGTCACTGGGAACTGTGCCTGTATATTCAAAGTGAAGCATAATTGTAAATATTATAATAGACCAAATTTAACACCCAAAATTGGTGTACATATTCTCCTTGTGATTCCGGTTTGCAGAACACTGATAACACTGTCTCTTCACTTTAGAGAGGTAGCGGGAATATAATTAAAGTGGTCTGAAATCATTATGATGGTTGTTATCAAAAAGCTCAAAGAGTTGATTTGATATTCAGATAATGATCTGGACAGGACACTAAATAATGAACGTGACAACACATAGATTGTATAGCCAATCAAATTCTGGCATCTCCTACATACAGACTTACAATCTTCACATCTCTGAAGTCTTAAACTAGATTCTTGAGGTACAGAACAGTCATTCCCGATAGCTGTCACTTTCTCTTTTTCCCTCTGTGTAATTCTTATTCCCAGTTCTCTCTCCTTTCCACCACTCATTCTTGTTCCCTCAGCATCTCCCCCTGCTAGAACCACAGCAGTGTCTCTTATGCAGCACGCTACAAGGTACATGTGACAGAAACATGAGGTGTTCCTGGCCATGTTTCCATCTCTCCCTGCCCCTAACGTTCACAGCACCTCCTCTCACTAAGAGGATGACACTGAGAGGCAGAAAAAGTCCTGTGGTTCCCTTGGAAGAGTTGCCTCTTATTAAAGAGGAGGCGGCTGTTTCAATCTCACCTCAGTGACAGCCCACCTCTCCGAATGGGAGCTGCTACTGCAGAGTGTACATTTCAGTACACAATTCTACACTGGTCTGTTTTCTCATTTACCCTGACATCAATTCTTATTTAATCTTTGAGCAGCATTGACTTTTAATCTCCTTCTTGAATATTTAAAAGCAAATTTCTAACTTTAAGCAGACAATGTATTACGTATTTTTGAAATGTTACACTAATACAGAAACAACTCCAGATTACACAGCAATGCACAACAGTTAACAAATATAGAAACGCCCTTATCAAACATATTTTGATATTTCTTTGTGTGCAGTACTCAAATCACCCACCAGCTTGTGAAAAAATGAATAAAAATTCAGAAAGTGACAGGATGTTCAACTGTTTGATACAATGAAAGAAAACCCCCTCCTCTTATTTAGGCAAAACATGAAATTTTAATTTTAAAAATAAATATCTTCAAATAAAATTCTTAAGAAAGAGATACTGGAAGTTTAAAAAATAGCTAAAAGTTTTAAGCAATTTCGTTTTGTATTTGATTATCACTTTACTGTACTGGTATAGCACATTTTAAAGCCTGCAGTTGACTTTTCTGATTCTACTACCTATATCCAAATTGGTGACAAAACTTGAAACACACATATTCAGCTATGTATTTTTTTACCTGAACATACTTTCGTGTTGTATTCTTGTTAGTTTTCCTGTGCATTTAGCCTAAGCTCTGTTTTGCCTTTTAAAAACAGCAACTTGCCAGTTAAGTCAGAAGGGTTGGAAAGACTTAGACTACCTGTTCTTCTATTCTCAGAATAATACCAATGCATACTGTGCTCTTCTTCTAAGCAATTATGATTCTGACATTTTTATTTTCCCTGGTGGGAGGAATTTATTAAATTACTCAGCAAGTTGTCAATTTTTGTTGGGAAATATTTTTAAAGGTTTGTTGTCAGCTAGGAAAAGGTTCACAGAATATTAACCTTTAACATCAGATTATTAATCAAAATCCATAGTTTCATACATCATCAGCTGTTACTGAATTGCAACTATTCTTCAGCAACTTACTAAGGACGGATCTGTATTTGCCATCACAAAGAAAACTCCTGCGTGTTCTGCTAAGCTAATCCACATCTTTGAGCCATTGATAATATAGTAGTCTCCTTTCTTTTCAGCCCGAGTCTTCAAAGAAAAAGCATCACTGCCAGCTCCAGCCTCCGAAAGACAGAAACTGCCTATCTGCCAATTGAAGGGAAAAAATAATTTCAATTTTTACTGCACATATAGGTACCACATATGACAAATTCTGCCACAAAAATAGTTACAAAAAAGCACAAGTCTCAAATTCATACATTTTAACCTATTGCATCAAAGTAACCAAGTTTCAACAGATACGGAGATTAAGAATAGAAACACTATGTAACTACACGTGTCTCAAAGCCAACTGCTTTAAAGTTCTTTTCCACAGTAAATTAAATTTTAATGAAACCAATAAGCACCTTTCCACTTTTCCACTTTTACCTCTCAGCTACTGATGACAGGACATACTTATATCATCACAAAGCTCAGCTCCAACCAGTGTTTCAAAGTTCACACATATTTTCCAATGCTCCAGTCACCCATTTAGTTACTGAGAAAAACCACCTCGCTAACATTACTTAACTATTAAACATTACACTATAGTTTAGTAAAGTGAGGATTTGACTCACTGTATCTTTAGCGACTCTGGGCAAGTAAGTTCTTTTTTGTTCTTCTGTGCCATACGTCACGAACAACTTATTTGTTAGCGTATTTTGGAGTTCACATAGAAGAGCTACAGCTGGATCAACTTTGGCCAATTCTTCTACCACCAATATGATTGAAAAAAAAGAAGCTCCAGTTCCTCCATATTCTTCCCCAAGATCAATACTCATCAGCTGCAATGTAAAAGATGCAAATATATCAATCTGTTGGTTCCTGTCAACTTTTTAATCCAAGCGGATACTTAAGAGATTAAAACACATAATGTGTTTCCAGATCCTTCCCCAAAGACCTGTTTTCCTTCAATACCCTTAACAAACTAACAATTCTTCACAGAAGCTGAGAGTCAATTCATGTAAGAAATAACTAACATGCACAGGCCAATCATCACCCTAATTTGATTACATTTTCCAGAACAATTGCAATCTCAACAGAAGTCAAATATGTACAGATGCCATTGTATAAAATGACATTCCAAACAGAGAAAAGCTTGATAGGTTTGATAGCAGTAAAGGCTAAAATTGAAGCCAGGAGTGATGAACAGGATATCTACAACACAAGTCCTTGTGGTTGTCCAGTAAGGACATAAAGGACTCCTAAATCCTGATACCCTTTTCCATCAACACTTATCAGGGTCATGCTGGTTCTAGGATACTACAGAATTACGCTTATCCAGTTAAAAAAAAAAAAAAAAAAAAGAAACAGGGAAGAAGACAAGGAACTCAAAGATAAGATGAAGAACGTGGTATGGAAGAGGGAGAGATGGAAAGAATATTACAATAAAAATGGAGAGTGATAATGCAGTAAAAAAAAGAAGAGAAAGTTGCTTTGCTGTTGATAAATCCAAAATTTTAATCTAAAAATCTGAAAAGTGCACAGTAGAGATTCATAAACTGATGTCACTTTCTGAATAAAAGATTAAGTAAAAGCATGCAGACCCCTTGTTCAAACAATCCCTGTATTATAGAGTCTTCCATTTTCGAATCCTCATCCATTTTTTGCACAAAAGGTGCAACTCGTTCCTGAGCAAATTTTGTCACTGCAATGAAGAGAAGAAAGAGAGCATGTAAGTATTCTAACACTCTCCTTGAAGATCGATATAACAGTCGTGTCGTACTTCTGACAGGTTATGCATGTAGTCCCTGAGTCTCCCAGACCAGTTAATAAAAGGACAAAACGTTGCCCAAGTGGAACAAAGTCATGTGCCACAAAGCTCAATCATAACTGCTTTCTGAACTCAGCTACAACTCTCTAAACCAAAACAAATGCTTGCTATAAATTCAGAAACTTTGAAAACATCTCAATAACACTTATGTAACATTGGCTGAACAAAAAAAATAAAGAAAATATTTCAAATACATCCCTTGTTTGGTTAGCTGTATTGTATTTCTTTATAAATTAAACGTGCAGTTTGTGAATACGGTCTCAGGCTTTATGGCATGTTATTCTGAGTGCACAAAATCCTGTAAGACTGTTCCTGTTTAACCAGAGCCATTTATAAGCTCTCTCCCAGATGTGCTGCTCCTCCCTCTTTCACCTTTGCTCTGATGATCCCTTCTGAAACACGGTCCCTTCATGCAGGCCTGGCTGCATGGCGGACACACCACACCTGTAACCGTTCTGGGTATACTTGAAATCTCCGAAAACCAGCCAGAGCAGTTAACTGTAGCTGAACTAAACACTTCAGAAAGGGCATGAGTCAATGCCAGGCAACTTCACTTCCGCGACGGCAACAGTCTTAAACAGCTAATATTTATGCAGAGTAAACTGCACTGTGGTATGTGGAACTGTGGTATGTGGACAATTTTCTTTCTAACAAGGAAAAGAACATTACATTTTTCTCTTGTGAACTAAAGCAGTTTTAAAATTAAGCACAATCCCCCACAACAATCTCACCATTTAACTAGAAATAAAGAATTGAAATAAATTTTTAAGCTAAAATTTCACTTTTATTTAGACGTTTCTGAATTTTAAACACACAGATAATACGTACCCATATTTTTCAGCATTGTCTCCTCTTCAGTGAATGTCTGAAGTGGAGCACACACAACTCCATCACTGGCTATATTTGGCTTGAGTTCTGATTTGGAGGATCTAAAGACGCACGGAGAAGCCCTCCAAGGAGCCAAGTACACTGGCAAATTTCTTTTCAGCTGTTGACAAAAAATACAGAACATCAGACCAGTTAATAGAATTTGTATTTGTAGACAGAAACAATACACAATTTTACCCAGTGTTTTTATTCAGGAATGGAATAGGAAATATAATCTACATTCAAGGTCCAGTTTGAAGGGTTTTGAGAGATATAACACCCCCCCACCCCCCGGTGTCCTAAAAAAACCGTCCTTTAATAACTCTTCTTTTAACCCCAAACAATTTTCTTTCTGGAAGTTTGCTAACACAATGTTATTTTACAAAGTATTCACAAACATTCATTTTGGTCCACCTTAGTGTTTACAGCAAAAAAACCCTGCTGATAATATTAATTTTTATGAATGGTTTTATAAGTCTGCTACAATAGTAGTAAGTGTATATTTTGAAGAATTAACCTCTTTATTAACAAATATGATAAGAGTAAATGTAAAATAGACATACAAATGTTTTTACAGAAGACCAGTCAGCTTTAATGATAGACTTAGCTTTCTCCCAGATTTTTCTAAAGGCCAGCAACCCTCACTTCTAAAGCAATCTGATAGCACTTCATTTGGATTATTGGTATTTTGCTGTGAAAGAGCATAACTTTAACAGCACTGTGGATTTTTGTATTCAAACTGAATTCTTACCTACCACTTCACGATTTTCAGAGTGAGCACACATTTCATAGATGAAGCCCTGGCATTTGAGTGTTTCTCTGTAGTTAATTTCAAAATAGTTAGTTTAAATCCTATAGTTAGTATGTTGATAGCACTATGTAACAAATCATTACTGTGTCTTATTTGGTTGATTTATTAAGAAAGTACATGAAGGAACTAAACGAGTAATTTATGCTTAACTTCTCCCAGTTCATCCACGACATACAATAATTTGAAATGATATCAAGAAGCATTGCTTATCCAACGGAGAGAGTGGAAGAGCTTTTTACTATAGGGGAATGGTGTCAAGCCTATGTGGCAAAAGTCACAAAAATGAACAGAAACAGACAGTGGCTTTGGGAGCAAGCTACACACAGTGATTGTCAGGTAGGTGGACACAGATAATGTGACAGGTAATTAGTTCGTACCTTGGAGAACTATACTTAGTGTTCAGACTTACTCAAGTAGGTAACAGCAGGCGTTAGAAAGGAACACATTTGGTTTGAAAGTTAACATACTTTCTAACCACAGAATAATTTCTTAGGATTTTTAAAAAAGCAAGCATAACGAATATGATCTTGCTCAAAAAGCAAGAGCCTAACAGTAGCTAAACTGCTGCAAAAAGTATTCCTGAAAAGCAGTGTTCAAAAAAGAAGCACAGTTCGACTGACTGATCTCAAAAGAGGTAAGACAGAAAAGTGTCTTTGCTCTCATAGCTCCCAAACCCCAACTTATTCTGTGGCTAACATCTACAGATTAGATCTTTGCTACAGATATCCATCACTATTGCTATGTCAGTCTAAAGCGTGGAGATATTAATGTCTTACAGAGACAACTGCTGACAGAAGCCCCCAGTAGAGACACAGCTGTGCCATAAAAATAATGCATAAATGAGCATATGCCTGCCAACATACATTTTTGCCAGCACACACTCCTAACCCCATAGCGAGCAGATCGACTGACTGTGCTGTAACCAAGCTGCTATTTAGCTCACAGAATGCAGGACAATTTTGCAATGCACACTGTGATAGCAGCATTCCTCAAAAAAATGGCAAAAACTTTGGGGTCAGGAAGTAAAAATTCCTTTGATCCTTCTAGTAATTCACTCTCTTTCATGTTGGCTTTCAACACCTGTCATCTCTCTGGCTAAAGAACTGATGTGAAACAGATCTACAGACTCCTTTTCTCTTACAGACAAGATGCCCAAGTCTATTATGGTAAGGAAACTGACTTTAGCACAACCAGTTATGCATGACAAAAAAAAAACAACTAAGAAGTGGTAACATAGGAAACAAATATTGCTGTGAACATTCAATGTTCATTCACATTCAACACCCCTGGTCACATAAAACAAATACTGGCTAGTGGGGCTGATGCATGAATACAAAGTTTGGATGATTAGCGATAGCTGCAACACTTTGAAATGAAGACTAAGTTACTAGAGTCCCTGTAGATCTTCACAAAAAACCAAAAAGTTCCTATAATAGAGATAAAATCCAAGGCAACCATGTTCTGGAAGCTGTCAGTCAGGAATGGATTATTTACAGAACATCGAGCTATGGCAGGGTCACTCAACACCCAGACGTGCAAGACTATCAAACATCCACCTGCATAAGTCCATATTCTTAGCAAGGTCTAAGAAGGAAAAACGTAAGTATATACACACATACACATACATATTTAACACAGTATGCTTCCCGAGCAGTTACAGGATTACAAATCACAGATACTTCCTGCTTCTTCCACTACTTTACTTCCAAGTAAAAAGAAAAGAGCATTTTTCTTCCACAGTGGCATAACCAAAGATGAATCACTGAGAATACTTCACCAGTACTGACCAAGAGCTGCCAGGAAAAATGCATGGTGCCTTTTTAAGAATACTTTTGGAAAAAAAGAAAGCTTTTGGAAAAGCTGCGAGTAGGTATGCTCAGTAAGCAATAAGTCAGAACTGTTGAAACAATTGGCAGTACTCTGGGAATACCTCTACTTTCATTTGATGGCACCTGACACTTGGATGTAGAATTATCGACCACGCAGGTGAACACATCACTAAACACACACAGAGGACTCTGCCGTGTCCAAAGCAGGAAGCACGGATTTTGTAGACCACAAAAAATACACAGATTTTTCTCATATGCTTTCATGAAAATGGGAAGCTGGACAAACTTGATTAAAAACAGCTCAGCAAGGTCAAGCCCAAGTGCGCAGGGCTGTATAGGCTGAGGTGACCTGCCAACAGCCTGGCTAGCAAGTAGAAGCTTTCAAAAACAGTAACAGCTCAGTGTTTGTTACAGATTACAGCCATTACAGCAGGCCTGCTCTTGGCAACAACGCCAGAGGTTATAAGAAAGTTGGTGCTCATAGTAACCACCCATTCCTTCACCTCCACTTAGCAGAAACCACCCCAGGCTTTCCCTGCTCCCCAAAGCTTTCACTTGGAGGCTCTTACACTGCAACCAACCCACTTGAGAGCAGCACAGAAAGGTGTCCTACCACAGCAGGAGAAACAAAGGTAACCCTCAACATATGTATGCAGACACGGTCTGAGAAACAATTGTCTGATACCCGACTGAGATAGTGCTACAGGACAAAAGGAATATTCATAACCTTGTGAAGTCTTAAAACCAGTAAGATGGCCCCAAGGGACAGGACCTACATTGGCAACACCCACACACAGAGCAGCAACCCACGGGTAAGCCAGAGTAATAGCACAGTGTAGCACAGAAATGATTCTTTATTTCAACATTTAGATTAAAAAAATAATGAATATTCAAGTCACTACATTATTGTTTACATTTTTATTCTTAGAAGTCATGCAGTCATATAGTATTACTAACTTTCAGATAGTTATTTAAGGTGCATGTACATTACTCAAATGCTTTGACACTGCTTCCCTGCTTTTTTTCCTCTTCTTTTTCTGCAGGTAAGGCAATGATTTACACTGATACAAGATTCAGACTGCTTGCCCTACTAAACACATGTACTTGAAAACTGGTTTCTGGGTTGCTGATAACATTGATTTTTCTGTTTATCTCCATTCTTACCTCCACCTCAGCTCTTTAAAGATTAGTTCCTTTCGTTTCCTTCTGTTTATTTTACAATCTAAAACGAGATTTTAATGCTAGCAGCATTACGATATAAATAAAAAAAGGTCAAAGCAATGGATTTTCCCAAGCTCACTTTGCTTTCCTTGATGAATTCCACCCTATCTGTACTAGCTGCATTCCAGGCAGCTCCTATTTCTCAGAGGAGAAGCTCCATCACAGTAAGCTTGCTTGCCCTCACTTATAGGGTTGGTTTTCTTTATTTCAGGTGTCACAACACACCACAAGCTGCCCTGAGAAGGTCCCAGGCCAGCATGCCTTCTCGCTCTGCACAGCAAAAGAGCATGTGCGGCACAAAACCAGGTTTTCTGCTTATTTTTCTTTTATCTTTTGATTACCCCTACAGTACCACAAGTCTCTTCAGCTAAGCAGAGGCATCAAAGCACCTCAGCTGCTGCAGCTGTGCTGTCTTCTCACAGGCCCATCCGCCATGGGCCGCTCCAACTACGAGCCCTTTCACAAGGCTTGCAGGGATTTTTCTTAGCAAGAAGTTACCCAATACCACCCCTCCGTGCTGGAAAAAAAAAAACAGCCGCAAAACAGAAGGAGGCGGCGGCTTTCCCAACCCGCCCTCACCCCCTGCAG